CAACACAATATTTCAATCTCTCAACATAAAAGAACAAATGTTATAAGAAAAAAAGAGCATATTTATGAGTAAACCCGTCCTTGATAAATGTCAATGTGGTTTGAGAATTTGACTAAAACAAATAGTACCTCTAAAATTAAAACTCATAGTTAATAATATTATTAAGATCATAAATTCGTTCAAAATTAAGAATCTAACCACTTATCGAGTTTCTAATAAGACATCAAAAGTCATAATCCAAAACTGTCTTGAGTTTCCATCAACATTAACTTTAAACACATTATCTGGATGGAAGTGCCAAAAACCCATTCTAAGAGAAGATATAAAAGAAGGGCAGCCAAACACCTTCTCGGTGGAATTATAATGAGAATAAATTTGGCTAAGTATATAACATATATGATTACTAATATCTTGAAAGCTTCCTCATTTCTAGATTTTCAAATGAACCAACATCATTTCTAGATTTCCAAATGAATCAACAACCGACGAGAAAGAGAGTAATTTGTTGTACGGTGGCATAACTTTTGAATCATAAATGGAGATTGTCTTTATAAGTACCATTTTGAAATTAAACATAATTTTATTACAAACTTGTGATACACCGCAATCGTACGGTAATTTCAAAGTAGTAAAAAGTATTGTCCATAAAGCAAAAAATTAAATGATTGAGTTCTATTGTTTATGTGTTTAGCTAAAGCAAACACTTCTTTTGGGTTTGAATACGAGAAAAATATAATTTTGGACTTCTTAATAACTAAAAGCAAGAGTTTGAGAACTTGATTTCTATCAACCTACTTTACTCACACAAGTTCTATAACTATCATAACAAGAACTTTTACTTTATAGAAAATTCTAAAACTAGTGGAAATGCCCACTTTCATGGACATATTATCGGGTTCTAAGAGCATAAATCTTCAGCTTTCACAACTTAATTTGTGCCTTTAGAACCCTTTTAAAAGACAAGCATTTTCTCAATTGACTCTGAAACAATTTTGCAATCTTAGAGTCAACAGTTCGAATTTCTAAATCGGACATCATTTATACCTTTTTCGCGCAAAAAAGATGTCCATGTGTTCCTACTTTCATTGTGAACATTCTTACTGAGATTTGGACCAAAGATGTTACCCATTACTTACAAATTCTCCTTGATGAGTTTTTATCAAAAAGTAATCCTCATTCTAATATTCATAATCGAGACAGGTCACCACAAATGCCTCATGCTAGAAAGCTGTCGCACAAAAGTGATTTGTTACTATCTTTTCTGCTGGCGAAAATCCATCCTTACATTTTAGATGGTGGTATGTCATTCGGATTTTGCAATGGCATCATGTTGAAGGGCTGACTCTTCCTTCTCTTATTATTTATTGGGGTTGGAATCAACTTCAGGAAAAATATCTGCTTGAGGTTTGGCAGTTGTTATTGCCTATTATATATGACTTCCTAGAAATTATTGTTCTGTCTCAAACCTATGTACGCACTCTTTTTGGATTAACTCTTTACGCCATTCATGATCGTGCTTCAGATGGATCAGATCTAGTAGATAATTTTAGAAGGGCATATACGATATATGCTCTGATACTAATTGATGGATTTGACTGAATCAAATAGACACAAACTATATCATATCATATATCAAATAATAATCAATAATGATAATAAGAACGATGTACCTTGTATGATTTGAGAAACTGCCGTTAGAGAGAGTGAATATGAGAGAATTACTACCCTTATTGCCATATAGGTTTCAGAGTATGTTAATCGTCTAATAGGGAAACACTTAAATAGCTAAACGAATGAGGGCAAATACCTCTCATTGGGCTTAATTGAATGATCCAACCCATCATGATCCATTCAGCCACAAAACCCAATCAAGTAATTCATCAATAATTACTGTTTAATATCAATTGACCCTAATATAATATATTAATAGTTAATTATATCAATCCATATTTGATTAATCAATTAATTAATCTAACAGTAAATTGTATAAAAATAAAGATCGCACGGCTAAAATTTAAACAAATATCACGAAATAAAACACTAGAGTTAAATATGCTAGGGGTCTCCATAAATATATCATAATTTAATTTTAGTCCCTCTAAAAAATTATTTTGAATAATGATTCTCCTCATATTTTTCGCCAATAATATCGACCATTCCCGTTAAATGCCTCACACGAAAGGTGACATGGAATGACACATGCGATATTTATTTTTGACATGTGGCACAGTAACATTATATTTGGACTGACTATATTATTTTATAATTTGTTTTTTATTTATATTCATTCTACTTTTTTTTTGAAAACAATCTTAAATATCCTCCTTCTTTATATGTTTTACCTAATTCTCCTTCCTATTCTCCAAAATTTTCTACAATACGTTCCAATTTGTAAAATTGTGTTATCATATTCCCTCACCTCAATCATTCCAATGAAACCCGTTCCATTGTGCTCCTTCAAATCAAGGCGAAGCAAACCCGTTTCCTTTCATTCCATGTTTGTGAGCAGTTGTCCAGTAAGAATGTGCACATGTCATACTCGTATGGTGTTCTACCATTGCAAGGGAGGACCTAACAAATGATGTATTTTCTAGAGATATATGTATTGGCAGGTTGATGTATTCTCTATCTCAAATAATTTGTGACTTCTAGTACAATTAAACATGTTTGGCTATGGTTACATGGTGATGATACTTGTATTTATCCATATGGGATAAAACCATAAAATGAGGAAAAATGTTATGATGTTCTAAATGAAGATGGGAGCAAGATGAAAGAGTAGGAAGTTGTTGAAAATTTGAAGGAGTTTTATGTATCTTCAAAGAAGAGAACTGAAAAATGTAGAAGAAACTAATCAGAGGCATTTGGTGGAAAATTAAAATTGATATGTTTTTTATTTTTGTTTATGGTTAAAATGTACTCGATAATAAGTGTAAATGTTGAAGATGTTAATGTATTAAAATGTAATATTATTGATGAGTGTTAATTGGAACTTTATCTATCAAGATATAATGAAAGTTATTCTTAATAGAATGTTGGTGCTTAGTTTGGTTAAAATTTTGACATAGTATGATATGTAATTGGAATTGTATTGTATGACCTATATTAGACTTAATTTTGACATAGTATGACTATAAATATGGATATAGTATGACCATAAATTTGGATAGAGCATGACATATATTTGCTTAATTTTGACATAGTGGCCTAAAATTTGACATAGTGGACATTGCATTCCCTATATTTGGTATTGTATGGCCTATATTTGACGTAGTAGATATGTGATGATACTTGTACCATATTTAACCAAACATAATTGTTATAGAACACTTAAATACCAATTGACAGTAAAATTTTCAAACAACATTTACATCTATAGTGGTCCATTCATTAGAAAACAGTTGCAATAAGCTATATGACATACTGATGATACAACACCATTATTTCCTTACATTACATAGACAAATAAAAATATAACACAATGCTCATAATGCATGACATTACAGTTAAAAAATACAAATATCTTCAAAATATCAGCATAATCTTCATTAAGATAAACCCTTGCAAATTTCTGCCATAAATGACATATATATTTGTGCTTTAGATGACATCCATCTAAATCTATAAATGATCTACATGCTTTTGTTAAAGCCTTTTTTGTCCCATTAAAACAAATGAAACACATTTCGAACACTGATTGCAAACCTGGTTTTAGACAATTAATATTGAGCTTGAAAGTGTTTCCTGATGAAGCCTCCTTAATTTAGCACCACATGACCATAACAATTTATATTGCTTGTTAGAGCCCCCTTCAAAAATTTGTCTAACAAGTTGCCTAGTCTTAAAAACTCTAAAACCAAGAATTTTAATTCCATACCTCAGTCTCAAATTTTCTACCACCTCATTTAGCTTCATTTTGGTATTGTTATTAAACCTATCAACAATCATTTTTACAACCCAATCTACTTTGGTACTTTTATTGAAGAACTGTCTTCCACAATTGTGCTTGTGAAGTAATGTCTTAATCCTAAATGTTATGGAGGTTAAAACTCTACTGCACAAGACATTGTAGTTACAATGTTTCTTGTGCTTACAAACCACCCTATACCTTTTTACATTTTTTTCAAATGTGACATCCCTGCTATTCAAGACACTATGCTCTACTATAGCATCATTGAACTGTTCCATTGAGGAAATTTTCATTCCAAACTGGAAAATAAAATCCTTTGTAATATCACACTAGGTCTATCATCACAAATGTCATCATCAGCCTCATTGTCAAGTTCATTAGTCATATGGTCTTCTTCAATGATATGTTCCATACCCGTCTCTTGTGTGATATAGACATTGCTGGATGGTTCACTTATGGTATCACCACCAATAAAATGTATTCTTTCTAGGTCGGCCTTCATAAACATCTTCATCAAAATCATTCACCCACTCCTCTTCAATATTATCAAAATGTATACCATTCATAGATTCATCATTTGATTCTCTAGAATGATCAACCTCTTCATCATATTTCTCTCTCTAAACTTATACAAAAATGATTGCGGATTTAGCTTGTTTAGTGAGTAGAGTTACTTGCTCAATATATATTGCAATGAGTGATATCTCAGAGGATCGTATAAATTGATGAAGTAGACTCTTGATATGATATTACAAATATCTGATGCTATTGTGCAAGGGTGGAGATACAATGTTAACACTCTAACATTTAAATCAATAAATAAACAAAAGAGGATATAGTGAATTATAATTAGATCATATATTCAACTACACACGTGACGATTTACATACAATAGATGGTGATTATGTTTATATAATATTGGAGACGTGAAAATTTTAAAACACAAAATTGAAACTATAAAACGCAAAAATGGCGTGAAATGGGATAAATAAAAATGACGAATCTACCCTTTCTTGTTTTGTTTTGGGGTATGGATAATTTGAAGCAGTAGTAGTGTATGGTGAATTTAGAAGGAATAGATAGTGTGCGAATGGAAGTGACAAGAGTAAGGGGGTTGAGCGGTTTGAGTCTGACTCCTTCTCTTCCACCGAGAAGAAGATTTCATGCAACATTGGCTAAAAAGAAAGATAACGAGTCTCAACAACCATTGAGGATTTCGAACTCAACTCTCGCTCGCGCTGCCATTGGAGTTTTTGGATTAGGGTTCATTGATGCAGGGTTAGCAATTAATTATCACACGGTTCTTATTAATTTCATTTTCGTTGAGTTTTTAACAATTTTGATTCTTCAAACTCAATGTTTCAGGTATAGTGGAGACTGGTCAAGGATTGGAGTAATTACACCGCAGAATGAGGAATTTCTAAGGCTTGCAGCTTTTCTAGTGGTTCCTATTTGTGTTCTTTTCATTTTTAGGGTTCCCAAAGAACCTGATTATTGAGCTTTTCAATGTAAAACTGTGAGTTTTAATTGTCAATAGTTATATTCTTTATCCTGTTCTCCTCACTATTTGAAAATTCAATTGGTTATGAATTTACTATAATGCATGTAAAGAAAATTAACAAAAGTTTGAAGGATCAAGCTCTTATTTACATGTTTTACTCTGTGATTCAATAACTCTTAGGGCTTGTCATTTCTGGATTAGGAATTCATTTTATGTTCTGCTATATTCGCTATCCCGTTATCCTATATTTGGGGTCGGCCTTTCCGTGCTGCTATTTGGGATGGAGTATCTCATTCTGTTATTTTTAATTCATAGTTTTTTTTTTTGTTACATTTATCTCAAGAATTAAAACTATACTTTTTTTACTCATCTGCATGCCAAAGTCTGTTTTTTTTTTCTTTTCTTATTGATCCTCTTGATCTTTCCACTGATGACATAAGCAACTTTGAGAAGGGTGTCTAGTATTTATTTTTCAAAAAGAGAAGGGTTAGATATAAGTCAAATTTGGAGGAATTACTTCTGCTGGGTTCATGCAGAGAAACACAGGGTGCATAATATACACTGTCTTTTGAGACTCCTTTTAATGTAGTAATTTAATTTTGTTAGGGCCTTGATCTATGCCTTTTACTCTCTGAACATGGTTCAACTGCAGCAAGGTGACCAATCTAATAAGACCATAATCTGCATAATGCTCCGATTAAATGATCCCCTTAAGCTATTTAGGTATGATTGCACTTTGTTGTAGCTAGATGATATGGGATAGATTATGCTTAGAAGAGAATTACTTTTGAGAAAAATAGTTACCTGCTACATTCTTGATATCACACTATTTCAACTATGTGATATCTTGTATGAGATTCTACTTCCAATCATGTAAAAGCTTCAACTTCTCCTTCTTTCCACATCGTAATAGTTAAATAGTACGTCTTTAATAATGTTTTTTTTAACACCTTAACCTTTTATGATTCTTACCTTTTTAGTTACTAACCCACATTGAATCGGTTTTGTTGTTTCATGTTGAAGAAGAGTCTTATATTGAAAAAGGATATGGTCTCAATATATGTTTATAAGTGGGGAAATCTTCACACTATAAGCCGGTATTGTAGGATTAAGTTAGGCCCAACCCTTACATTCTAAGATCATATTAGAGCCTATCCAAGATCAGTTGGGCCAATTGCCATTAGGTTTCTGCTATCGGGTCACTTAACATCTATATCCTCCACGCTTCAAATGTCCAATCCTGAGCGTGAGGGGGCGTGTTGAAGAGTCCCACATTAAAAAAGATATAGCAACATCTGTTTATAAGTGAGGGCAATCCCCACCCTACAAATCAGATTGTAGGGTTGAATTAGGCCTCAACCCTTACATTCTAGGATGTTCATTTGATCTGGCACAAACGAATATCCACGTGATAAAAGAAGTTGTGTTGGTGATACATTTAGACTAAGGTGTGGTTGGAAGTGAAGAGATACATGGCGCTATCCGGCAGAAAAATAACTGTCGCAGGTTGGTGGGTGTTTGGTTTATGTGTCTGTAAGTGTTGGTTCGGAAATAGTGCAGGAGAGATAAATGATGTTTTCATGCACTGTGAAGTAGTTTGTGGATTAGTGGTAGATGTAGATTTGGTCTCGACATTTTGACACAGCAGGGGGAGAAAGTAACATATTGACATGATCTTACTAAGTAGTGATTCTAAAATTGATTCCAATGACATAGTGGTGTTGCTGATGAGAATTAAGTAGTATTATTGCCTTTGTATATTGTGTTGGACTTGTAATAAAGATGAGAACATTGCATTTCTGATTAGTTCAGCAGTAAAAGGTTTAAGAATCTGTACTAACTTTTGATCGCATGGTCAAGTACGCAATGTATTATAAATTATTAATAATAACTACAAAGGGAGCTTGTTGAAAAAGATAGGGAAAAAAGGAGTAGGTATTATCTGACAATTGTTATTATTAAACGGTTTTCCGTTATTAGGTAATCTAGGTAACCAACTATAGTCTGCAAATATTAGGTCTGTGTTTGAAAAATGAACCATGGTTTGCTTGCCAAATTTCTCCTAAATAGTGAAGCTTGACTAATTAATGCATCTCAATTTTGGGTGGTAAATGCATATTGTGCTCACTCATGAATCTGATTTTTGTTGCTTACTATTATAATTTTATCTAATTCAAATGATTAGTCTATGTAATTAAACTGATCCACAATTCTTCATCCAGTGTAATGTAAGAGGTAGTAAATGTGATTACTGGTCCATGATATAATTTTGAGGCCCCACAAACATTAAAGGTTGTAGATTGTTCAAAAATAGTAGAAGAAGAGCATATGGACCCTAAAACTAAAACAGTATATCCTCTTTAATCGTCTACATGAGGTAGTTACACCTACATACGGGGCGTCACTGTTGACACTTGACACTTCAAATTTGTCTAAAATTCATACTAACACATCATATACTTTTAAAAAATCCTCCAAATAATCTACAATAAATACTCAATTTCCTATTTTAAATCTCTCTGGTCTTATTCCATATTCCATTTGAGTTGATTTTGTATGGACGAATTAGGTCAAACATCAATTATAATATGGTATCAGAGTTCATCGATTGGGTCATTGGTCACTTATGCTTAAATTCAATAGTCTTGAGCGTGAAAGAGTGTATTGGAAAAATTTCAAATCCTACATGGTTATGAATAGAATTTAGAAATAGTTTATATAGAATTCACACTTGTCACTTTACAACTACATCTGATATTGTAAGAGAGTTAGATCAAATTATAATTCTAATAGTAAAAGTATTTCTAGACTAGTCACTCTCTGCCGGATCATCACAACTTGTAAAACTCTCATTTTAAAACCACTCATCTTAATCGAGTACGGTTCATCGGCTCGGAACAATGTGTTTTTTTATTAGAATTTTATGTGATGTTAATAAAACAAAAATATTTTATAATTTGAATACACTTATAAGGACTATATTGACAAAACCTCACCTATTTTAAAAAAATAAATAAATGTTTTACTAGTTTAGGTAATCAACAATAGGTAGCAAATATAATGCCACCCATTTTAGTGGCCATTAAATAACTTCAAATTTGTTGAACAACTTTATAGGTAGGTACACATTTTAAAAATGATTAGAATGAATAATAATCTGGTAAGATCAAAATCCATTCATTATAGAACTATAATAAAAAGGGGTTAAAAGTGAAGACAGAGAATAAAGTTCTTAATCTTACATATAAAAAGTTATTGACAGCTACATCACAGAAATTCCAAGTGAAGACAATAGAGAAAGAATTTAACATAGAGCCGATTTTACAGACGGCCACAAACAACCATCTTTTCAGCCGGCTATATCTCATTTCTGCCAGCATCACTAACCCCATTCCTTGCCCCATCCCTTTAAAATCTTCTTCATATTCATTTTTCTTTTTCCATTAATAATACATATAAATATTCATATCTTGTTTCTTCACTATACACATCTTTATAGTTCAAATGGCGAAAAAATCGCAGAAGCAAATCGAGAAAGACAATGTTAACAATGATCTAAATGCAAGTAATACGGTGGTGACAAAGGCGAAACGGACGAGGAAGAGTGTCCCTAGAACTTCTCCACCTCAACGCAGCTCGATATATCGAGGAGTCACTAGGTAATTATAATTTGTATAATGTTAGTATATATTAACATCGATCTCGGTCAATTTTAAATTAACGATTAATATACTAACATTTGTTGTTGAAATATCGACCAGGCACCGGTGGACCGGTCGATATGAAGCTCATTTGTGGGACAAGAATTGTTGGAATGAGTCTCAGAACAAGAAAGGCAGACAAGGTAATTATTTCATAAACTTTTTGGTTTTACAACATTAATTGATTAATATTTGATAAAGTTTGCTAATGTTTGAGGTTTTTTCATTTTTTTTGCATGTGGCATTTCAATCCTATGGTGATTAATTTTTTGCAGTATATCTTGGTACGTATTTACCGATGTTAAAATTGATTAGTACTAATTATCATCATCACAGTGAAACCAAAGTGCTTATTAATTAAGCAATTTTTGTTGAAATTTCAGGTGCTTATGATAATGAGGAGACTGCAGCACATGCTTATGATTTAGCAGCATTGAAATATTGGGGTCAAGATACAATTATTAATTTTCCGGTACTTTAATAAGCACTCTTATTAATATCCATCGTGGTTTAACTAATTGTAGTTTAGAAAATGAAAAATGAAAAATATTTTTTTTCTTCAAATCACAGTTATCAAATTATGAGAAAGAACTTACAGAAATGGAAACTCAATCAAGAGAGGAGTATATTGGATCCTTAAGAAGGTATATTAATTAAACAATTTTTTTTATTGTATATATATAAGCCAAAATGATTTTGCAAATTAAAATTAATTTTAGCTTATGTCATTTTTATATTGAAAATATGCAGGAAAAGCAGTGGTTTTTCTAGAGGAGTTTCTAAATATAGAGGTGTTGCAAGGTATATATTATGCTCATATATTTTAGCATGTTCTCTTTTCATATGACTAATTAAGAATCAATTAATTTAAAGTTTAATGAATTTGATTTTTGAATTATTGTTCTAGACATCATCATAATGGAAGGTGGGAGGCTAGGATTGGAAAAGTTTTTGGCAATAAGTATCTATATCTAGGAACTTATGGTAAGTTCGAATCATCCTCTCAAATAGTCTATTTTGGTATAAATCGGTTATCTTTTATGTGCAACTGCAGAGACTAATCTTTCGAGTTAGAGAAAACTCTATAATTGCAAAACTTTCGGTGAAAAGAATTTAACCATGTTGCATGCTCAAATTTGCAGCTACACAAGAAGAAGCGGCTACAGCTTATGACATGGCAGCTATTGAGTATCGTGGAATTAACGCGGTTACAAATTTCGATCTCAGCCGATATATTAAGTGGCTTAAGCCCAACAACAACAATAGTGAAAACAATGACAAATCCAACATTAATCTTTGCAACATTAACTCTAACTATAGTACGAATGACACAACCTCTAATGAAGAATTGGAATTTACCTTAGACACTGAAATAGTATCACTCAATACTACTACTACTACTGATGAAACCACATTGGTTCAACCTCGACCAACGAGTGCCACATCAGCCCTAGAGCTTCTTCTTCAATCATCTAAGTTTAAGGAAATGGTGGAAATGGCGTCTATGACATCTAATGTTTCAACAACGTTGGAGTCTGATCAATTGTCACAATGTGCATTTCCTGATGATATTCAAACTTATTTTGAATATGAAGATTTCAGTGATACTATGATTGATGATCTCAACTCTATTGTGCCTATGTTTCATTGTGATGGTTTTGAGGGTGCTGAGATTTTATAGAGAATTTGGAAATGTATGTTTTTATTTATTTATTTATTTGATTTTATTTATTTATAGGACTGATGATACCTTTTATATTACCTAATTAGGATTTAAGCTTTTAGAAGAAATAAGATATGAGTGAGAAAATCCAATGAACTAATTGTATCAAATTTGATTGTATCATGGATATTAATATTTACTGTAACAATATTTACTAATAGTGTGAGAATGAAGGTTAGTTATAGCCAAAGCTATTTCGAGCAAATTGATAACCATCGTAACTAACTCATGTAACAAATTTAACTAATTTCCTGAAACATAGCAATTATTTGTAGAACAAACAACAAACTTAAACTTACGAACTATTCACAATACACCACATAATTCATAGTTTTTAATGATTGTTGATTGAAAAATCAATAACTCAAGTGTTATAATCGGTTACAACGGATTGAAAAACACTTATGCAGGTTGAAAAAGTCGATTTTAAGTTGTGTTAACCGATTAATCAAATACGTTAATCGGTTACACTTGACATTGTATTTTCTGTTTTCTGTCTGTGTAACCGGTTAACTAGTTTATTTAACCGGTTACAAGCTCGACTTTTAGTTTTTTCTTGTAATTAGATGATGTGTTTTAGGTCACAATCATTTTTGTAACACTTGTATAAATGTCTTTGAGGCATCCTCATTATTGGTGAATGCAATTAATGATTCTTACCCTCAATTATCTATCTTTCTCTCTAACTCTCTCCTCTCCATCACTATCTTCCTCTCCACATATCCTAAACCCTCTATTGTTCACCAATTGTGTGATAGCATGTTCCAACATTTGGCATCAAGAGCCTGGTTCTGATCCATAAATATCTGTTGTGCAACATGAATACCGTCTCTAATGGTAGAGTCCCTACAAACATTCATCTCCTTGAAGCAAAGAACTACGATAAATAGTGCAAGCAAATGGATGTGTTGTTTGGCTACTAAGAAGTTCTTGAAGTGATCAAGAATGGTGTGATTCCTCTTGTCGAAGGTGTAACAGATGCACAAAAGACTGTGTACAAGGAAGAAAATAAGAAAGACTACAAGGCGTTGTTTTTGATCCATCAATGTGTAGATGGTGACAACTTTGAGAAAGTGGGTGATTGTCAATCATCGAAACAAGCTTGGGAAATCTTGGCGAAGGCTTATGCAGGGGCTGATAAGACAAAGGCGGTGAGGTTACAAACTCACAAATGTCAATTTGAATTGATTCAAATGGAAGAAAAGGAGACAATCAACGATTATGTGACACGAATTACACGATTGGTCAATCAAATTAAGTCTTGTGAAGAGGTTATTTTTGAATCAAATTAATATTTGACAACATCGTAGTGGCGATAGAAGAGTCGAAAGATCTTGCAACGATGAGCTTCATAGCTCTCTTGAGGCTCATGAGCAAATGATGGAAGAGAGAAATAACGAAAAGGCAAAGGCAGATATCACTTTGCAAGCTCGGTTCAACGAGAATAACAAGTAGTTGAAAGGAAAACGACCCATGAAGAGCAAAGAGAATTTTCTGAATTTTGGTGGAAAAGGGTCTCATAATTCTAAGAATTCGACTTATCAAAAGGGTGAGAGCAGGTGCAACAAAAATGGTGGTCAAGGAAAATTTAGAGGCGGAAAAGGAAAGTTTAACATAAGCAAAGCACAATGCTACAATTGTCAAAAGTTTGGTTATTTAGCAAGAGAATGCAATACAAAATAAATGTGTGATACGGTGGCAGAACCGATTGTTATACTGGTTTTGTGTTTGTATTCGCAAATGTTGCGGTAAATAAGAGTCGCCATCGACTTTTCTTTTATCCAACAAAGGAAATGGTGAAAAGAACAGAAAAAGACATTTCGAGATTATTTCTGAGTAAGGGGGGTAAATTATGGAAAGGGAAGGTGTTAGCACACTTTCTATCTGTAGTTATCTACGGACTCTTAGATGCTTAGCTCATTTTTTGAAATACCTTGTGCTTTTGTGTATTTTTGAAAAGTATTTTGAAATGCCTTAGTGCGGTGATTTGCTTTATGATAACTCTTGTATCAGTCCTCAAGAGTGTTGATAAAGCATTTGAAAATGTTTTGTGTATGTGTAAGAATTTTTTTTTTGAGAAAGCATCTAGGAACTATCTACTTTACTCGAAAGGGTCGTTCTTTTCCTCCTTTCCTTTAGACAGTGTTATCCTACTATTAGTGAGTAGGTAACCCTAGTCGTTTGGATGTTTGAGGTACAAGCACAAGTCATCGTACAGTCATAAAGGCAACATATAGAGACGCTTTAGCAATTTTTTAAGGGGCTAGATCATTTACCAAAAGGCAACACCGAAGAGTCATCGAGGGACTATGATCTTTTGATTCGAGGGTCTTTGCTAAAGCGTCCCCACTTTCGAGGGACATGACTGTTTTTTTATATTTTCTGAAAGCAACAAGTGGGGGTATCCTAGAGGTGCGTGTGCGTGTGTGCGAGTGCGTTGTGTTTATTTATTTATCTTGTGTTAGATTTGCTAGCGTTTGATTATTATTCTTGCCATACAATCCTAATTAGCATACATTTAAACAATTAATAATTTACGGGAATTTAAAATGCAGAATTTAAAGCTACGCTATTACATGGCTTCGGGGAGGAGGATTATTACAAGTCCAAACTTGGGAGTGAAATAAAGAAAGCAATAAAAGGGTCCTAGTTAATTCTATTACATCCCATAAGCAATTACATTAATGATAAGAATAATAAATGCCAAGATAATAAACGCGTGCGACTTGGAAATACGTCTAAATCCTAGAAAGAAAAGTCTTTTGTTTATTTTTTATTTAATAGAAGAAAAATAAAAATCTAAATCTACTTAATTTTAATTTAAAATAAATGTTTAAGTAATTAATAATTAATTAACGAAATTAATTTTAATAAAAAGGACTAAAACCTAATTTTTGTGATTTATTTATTTATTTTTATGTTGGTTAAAACTGGAAGAAATAAAATAATAAGAGAGGCAAAATAAATAGATTAGGCAATAAAAAAGGGTGCAACTTGCAGGATGTAGGCCTGGATCGGAAAGAAGCCTAAGCTACCTTTCGATCCAATGAAGAAACTGGTCGAAGGTACATAATGGACTGCACGCTTGGGGGTGCTGGCTATGAATTGGCCAACATCTGACAGTAAGGGAATGATGGTGTATGGCATACTCCTTCGATCTGGGAACATTGGATCTGCAGAAAATTCATTAGAAAAGCAAAACAAAAATTCCAGACTTGGACCGAATCTGGTCTTGGATTCGATAGCTTGTGGCTGTATCATCCTGATTCGAACCCCCCTGAGTTTGAATCGAAAGCCATTTCATCCTGAGATATCATGAATCTTGAGATTCGAAGGAACCAAAATTCAAATTCCCCAACAATGGCAGGTCTGTAAGGATTGTAACCTGTCTAACGCTTCATTATAAACACACACAAACACGTTAGAACGGATAAATGCGCTTAGATTAAGAAATTGAATTTTGGAATTGTACTTATAGTTGGTATGCTTCGATCTGCAGCTTTAATAGGCAATGGGTGTTCTGTGTGATGTAGTATGTGTGGTCTCTGGAGGCAAGGTTTTTGTCTGGCTAATGCGTGTATAGGAAAAATGTTTCTCCGTCTCTGCAAAAATGTTTCTGTGGCAATGTTTATGTGTTTCAACAGTTTTTTCTCCGCCCCCTGGCAATGTGTCTTTAGCTCTGTATTTATAGGGAGCAGTGGTGAATGGAAATGGCAAGAAACAACCATTAATCAGGCTTTGAAGGCAGAATCAAAGGCCTTTAAAAATTTTCCATTTTTGATGATTTCCTACCCTTTTGGGTTTTGAATGAACTTGGACAAGTTTCTCATCTTGACTCCTTCGAATGCCCTCAAGCCTTGTTCTTCGATTGGCTCTGAATTGCTCTTTTCGATTCTAAACCCCACCCTTGGCTTATGTCTTTGCTTGCCTCCAAGAAACAACTTTGCTGCGCATTAGTCCACCTTCAATTGGTGAATACAACTTGTATTGCACCAATCAAAGGGTAACCTAAGAGCATTATAACTTCTCTTCAAACATCCCACACATGTTCAGGTGCATGCCATAAGTTCTGAGGTGGCTCATACTTGGCTAGTTCATCCCATATTGTCCTTCAAATGTAATTGTGCAGGAGGCTTGGGCTTGGAAGCATGTAGGACTTTGGCTAGCAAGCATCTTGAACCAGACTCATCAAAAGACAAAACAAAACTTGTTTCCAACAATTGTGTCCTTCGAATGGATCAATTGTATGTCCTTCGAAGGCACCACTTGTGTGTTCTTTGAATGGGCCACCAATGTATGTCCTTCAAACCTACCAATGTATGTCCTTCAAACCCACCAATATATGTCCTTCAAACACACCAAATTCATGTTCTTTGAATGAACCATATTGTGTGTCATAGTGTAGAAACTGTGTGTTGAAAGGTTTAGATGTGGAGTCAAAGCTAGCATGAGGGAACCCACTGCTCCGTGAATGAAAGAAGTTCTTGCCTTGTGAATTGAAGGCAAGTTGAAGGATGTACTTGCCTTGTGAATTGAAAGCAGGCATGAAGAAATGTACTTGCCTTGTGAATCGAAGGCAGGCATAAATGATGCACTTGCCTTGTGAATTGAAAGCAGGCATGAAGGAAGTATTTGCCTAGTAAATAGAAGGCAGGTTGAAGGAGCCTTTGCCTTGTGGATTGAAGGAAAGCCCAGAGGAAGTCTTTTACTTGTGGATCAAAGGCAAGCACATAGGAAACATTTGCCTTGTGGAGTGAAGGCAAGCCCAGAGGAAGTCTTTTCCTTGTGGATCAAAGGCAAGCACAAAGGAAGCCTTTGCCTTGTGGAATGAAGGTAAGCCCAGAGGAAGTCTTTTCCTTGTGGATTGAAGCAGACACGTAAGAGGCCAATGCTCAATCTAAGCTTGCATACAGGAGGCCACTGATTTGTGAAATAAAGCAAGCATGTAGGAGGCTACT